TTTTTTTTTTTTTTTTTTTTTTTTAGTGAAGTTGTCTCAATTTCTAGTTGTGCAATGACTTCACTTTTTATCATTGCTTTTTAAAATATAACGCTCTTTAAAAGGGAAGCATAACCTTCCTGGCATGGTGCCAGGCAGGAGCCTACATTATCTTTTAATTGCTGAATTTGAGTCTGTCGCAAGAGGGAAATGAGGAGAAGATCCCGTTTCTCTGCTGTAGGAGTAAGCGCTGCGTAGTGCCTATCTCAGGTTTAAAAAAAAAAAAAAAAGAAAATTATTCTCCCGAGTGGCTTGTTCTTACGACTTACAGCAGCGCCTGCCGTGGGGGATGATGCTGGGTCTCCGCTGTGCCTCCTGCATCCACAAACCAGCCCAGCAGTGAGGCTCAGGGTGCCTGTCCATGCATGGGGGTGGTCCAGCCAGCGGGCAGGAGGGATGGGAGGGGGAGCCCCAGGGCTCTGGGGGGAGAGCCAAGGCGGGTGCTGGCACTGAGCTCTGTGGGTGCTTGGGGTGAGGCTGGGGACAGAGCCCGGACCCCCTTGGGCTGCAGCTCTCGGGCACTGGCTGGGGGGTGCAGGTGAGGGGAATGGAGGGGGCTATTGCAGGGAGGGGTCTCGCTGTCCCTGCAACAGCACCTCTGTGCGAGCGAGGTGAAGCTCAGCCCCACGGGCAGCACGTGGGCCAGCTCGGCCCCTCGCAGCCGCTGCTGGCCGGGTTCACAGGACAGCCCTCCTCCAGGCGTGAGCCAGGATGCAGGAGCTGCGCGGCTGCTGGCGGCACGGCACGGCCAGTACCACTTCCCGTTTGCCAGGATGCTCCGTGGGCTCTGGAGCCCTCATCCCCCTCCTCGCAGCCCCGTCTATGCCAGGACACTGCCCAGGATTGGGAAGCACCTTTGCGGGAGGTGATGAGCAGTTGTCCCCTCCTTTCCTCCCGGCTGCAGGAGCAGTGCTTTCCCACGCGTGGGTTTGTCGGCAGCAGCGTGCGATGCTTCGCTGTCTCTGCCCAGGCTGTAGAGGCGTTGCTGGTGATGGCAGGGCTGGGGCAGGATGGGGCCATGGTGCTGTGCGTCAGCCTCGCAGTTTCTGCTGTTTGCCTGGCTGTTTGCATCTGCAGGGTTAAGCGAAGGGGGTGCAGGAAGATGCATTTATTTCCCCCAAGTGACTGGATCTGTCCTCTCCAAGATCTGCAGCGTAGCGTGTGGGGCGGGAGGGGAAGGACAGATGCAGAAGCATTGTTTACTTAAAATTACAAACTGCTGGGGGAAGCAGAACACAGTTGTATTTTATGGTTCCCAGAAAATCTCGGGCATGTCTGAGAACATCCCCCTGCAAGCTCCTCCAGGCTACTCCCTGTTGAGTAAAACAAGGGAAAAAACAAACCCAACCCAACCCGGCCCCTTCTGTTGGCGGGTTCCTGGGAGGATTCTGCAGCTGGAAATCCTCCCTGCCAGACTGCGGGAGCTCTCAGTGCCTCAGCAGACATGCACGTGAAAACCGTGCTCATCCTGCTCGTGCTGGCTTTAGCCACGATCTTTGCTTTAGTCTGTGTGTTGCTGACCAGAGGACGGGCCCAGCACCTGCCCCAGCACCAGCCCCCGCAGCAGGAGGACACCGATGACGGCCAGAGCCTGGTCTTTGCCGATCTGACACCCGAAGAGATGGTGCAAGTGGTGCGGTACCTGCAGGGAAACCTTGGGGTGCAGCTGGTTGACGCCTCGCGTGCAAAGCCCTCCGACAACTGCATCGCCTCCGTCGACGTGCAGGTCCCGGCCAAGGCAGAGGTGCTGCGGTTCCTGGATGGTGGGGGGGCTCGCCCCGCGCGGGAGGCGCTGGCTGTGGTCTACTTTGGGAATCAAGCAGACCCCAACGTCACTGAGTACGTGGTGGGTCCGCTGCCGACGCCAGTGTATCACCGGGACGTCACGGTGCAGAAATACGGGGGGAAGGTGCCGTACCACCGCAGACCTGTTACCGGCAAGGAGTACGTGGACATCAACACCCTCATCCAGCGGGAGCTGCGAAAGGCGCCGCGCTTCCTCGCCACGTGCTGCGAGTCCGATGGGACCGACCTGGCCATCCTCACAACAGCCCCCCGGGGCTTCAAGTCTGGTGACCGCATGACCTGGTTTGTCCTCTTCCACAATGTGGCCGGCATTGGCTACTATCTCTCGCCGGTGGGGCTGGAGGTGCTGGTGGATCACAGGGACCTCCGTGTCTCCCGCTGGCGGCTGCGCCATGTCTTCTACAACGGCCAGTACTTTGCCAGCACAGAGGATCTGGAGCATGCATTTGTGATGAACTTGCTGGAGGTTGTCAAGATCAAGAAGCCCCAGGCTGAAGTGGTGCTGGGCTCGATGAGACCCCGGCACCCACCTGGCTCCCCAGGGCCACTGCAGTACGAGCCTCAGGGTCCCCGCTACAGCGTCAGGGACAACCGTGTCACCTTCCAGGGCTGGAGCATCACCTTTGGCATGAACCCTAACAGTGGCCCACGCCTCTTTGACATCAGGTACCGTGGGGAGAGGATTGCCTATGAGCTGAGTCTCCAGGAAGCCTTAGCCCTGTACGGCTCCAACTGCCCCGGGGGGATGTTGACTCGCTACCTTGACGGGAGCTTCGGCATCGGCAGGTTTGCCTACGAGCTTGTCCGGGGCCTTGACTGCCCCTACATGGCGACCTATGTGGACCAGCACTACCTGGCAGAGTCAGACACCCCCAAAACCAACCAAAACTCTCTCTGCATTTTTGAGCATGATGCTGCCCTCCCCTTGCGGCGCCACTTCTCCGACTCGCAGTCCTTTTACTACGGTGGGCTGCGGAAAAACACGCTGGTCATCCGTGCCATCTCCACTCTCATCAACTACGACTACATCTGGGATTTCATGTTCCATGGCAGCGGGGCCGTGGAGGTCCGGGTGCACGCCACCGGCTACATCAGCTCCTCCTTCCTCAGCAGCCAAGGCACCAACTATGGCAATAGGGTTGGGCCCCACACGCTGGGGACCATGCACCTCCACCACATCCACTACAAGGTGGACCTGGATGTCGATGGTAGGTCTGGGCGCCTTCGTGCGTGGCTGCAGTTCGCTCTGGGCTGCAGCTCCGTCTGGGGCACGAAGCGTGAGAGGGTTTTCCCTTCTGTTTCACAGGGCAGCTGAACTATCTGGAGACCCAGGACATGGGGTACGAGCTCGTGAAAGACCCCTGGAGCTTGCAGAACACCATCGAGCGGCTGTACCTCCGCAGGGAGAGGCTGGAGAGGGAGGACGAGGCGGCGTTCCCACTCAATTCCCCCATGCCCCGCTACCTCTCCTTTGCCAGCCCCAAGCCCAACAAGTGGGGGCATCCGCGCAGCTACCGGATCCAGATCACCAGCTTCGCCGGGGAGCACCTGCCCCTCAGCAGCCCCATGGAGAGGTCCATCAGCTGGGGCAGGTGGGTGCCAGGGCGCGCGTGGTTGTGTGTCCCCCCCCGCCACTGCGTCCCCGGCAGCTCCTGCCTCCCGGTGGAGGGGGGGCTGCTGCCACCCAGCAAACCTGTGCCGGGTTAAAGGGTTAAACAGTGAACATCTGTATTTTCTGGCTCTGAAAATCCCTTGAAAAGTGGCTGCATGAAATCTGTTCACAGTAATTCACAGGCAGGAGTCCTACCCCAGAAGAGGTTAATTTAGAGCAATCACATGCGCTTTTTTCCCCTGTGAGGGCAACCAGGCTATAGGACAAACTCCCAAGGGAGAGCACTGGCATCCCCAGGTCTTGACATCTTCATGCGAGGATAAAATATCTTTTGGAAAATGCTTGGGATAAACCGAGAACTGGCTCACGTTCTGGGGGAGGCGGCAGGAGTTAAAAACAGCCGTGGCTGAAGTGAGCGTGTCGGGCAGCGAGCAGCAGAGTCTGTGCCTGGACACGTCCGTTGTTCCTGGCCGTGCTGGAGCAACGAGTGATCCCCTGCACGCCCACGGGTGCTGAGGCTGCTGCCAGCCGCTACCACGCTGCTCCATGCCAGCCCTTTCCCTCCCTGACCCGGGGCAGATCGCGTTGCCAGGCATGCACTGAGGATGCATCCAGCCCCAGTTTGCCGGTGCATCCCCGGGCGGCGATGCCGCAGTTGCCCTGCCCTGCGCCGGCGGGGACGAGCCCCTCTGCTCCCTGTGCTGGCAGGTACCAGCTGGCTGTCACCCGGCGGAAGGAAGAGGAGCCCACCAGCACCAGCATCTACAACCAGAATGACCCGTGGACGCCCACTGTTGCCTTTGCTGACTTCATTGACAACGAGACCATCACCAACGAGGTGAGCTGGGGTCCCCTGGGTGGAGGGCAGCTGGGCACCGCAGGCGCTGTCCCAGCTCCTGTCCCAGCCAGAGGCTTCACCCATCCCGTGGCCAAACTGGGCAGCTGCTGGGCTGGAAAGGTCCCCCTCAGCCTGATGGGGTGCCCGGCTCCCCTCCTGCCCAGGACCTAGTCGCTTGGATCTCCGTGGGGTTCCTGCACGTCCCCCATGCTGAAGATGTCCCCAACACGGTGACCGTGGGGAACAGCATTGGCTTTTTCCTGAGACCCTACAACTACTTTGATGAGGACCCCTCGGTGGACTCGCCCGACAGCGTCTACTTCAGCAGTGAGCAAGATGCCGGAGCGTGCGGGGCCAACCCCCTCGCCTGTCTGCCCTCCACTGCTGCCTGCGCCCCCCAGCTGCCCCCATTCTGCTATGGGGGCTTCCTTAACCTCAGCCTGGCCCCGCCACCCGGCGGGCTCTGACAGAGACGGGACCACCGCTGCCCCCCTCCCCCCCACGGGGGGGC